ATTGATGACTAGTCCAGGAGAAATTGAGTATATACAATTAACCATAAACATGAGGTCCTGGATATTTTTATGGAGTGGAAGAAGAAAGTGGAGCTGCAGACAGGTAGAATGTCACGCCCCGCTTTCCAAAATACCCAGAAATCAGAACGTGAACAAGCCCGCGACGTATTAGATCAAGGAGAATAAATAAAAATAAATATTTCTCCTCAACCTAATATGCTAAGTGTCTAGAAATAAATACAATACGAAGTCTTAGGTCCCCGATCATAGTTAGCAAGAATATAATAGACAAACTCAGAATAAAATAATGTATATCACAAGTGAATATCATCCAAGACATAAAAATACGGGTCAAACATATCCTTATAAAAAACTAAACAATGAATACTGAAGAGATATAAAATACATAGATCAAGCCGGAATGGAAAGAACTACAAAAGTAACTGGAACCATCAACTAATAAATGAAAAGAATGGGCTTCGACTCCTTCTTCTGCTCTGTCTACAAGGCACTCCTGCTGAGAATCCTCTGGCACCCGCTGAACCTGTTCTTCCTCTAAGTTTGACTTACACTAGAGAAAATAGGTGTACGTCAGCGTGCATGGCATACGGTAAGATCCCACAACAAATAGAGCGAATGAAAACCAAAGTGAAAAAAATGATACGATAACAAAAATGACAAAGAAACGTGCAACTGGAAATCCAATAAAATCAACATGCAAATTCACTACTAAAACATGATAGACATAAAGCATCCAAAATTAATCAGGTAACGAGATCATGTAGCTAGCGATCAGTCTAATCATCCAAGTAACAGAGGCATACAATAGATGGAATTAATACCTAAATCTACAACATGAGACGTAGTACGTCGAGCGAAATAATCCAAACAAGGAAACCCTCATGTATATACCATATGTCTCAAATTATAGATAATTAAATATTAACCCCGATCTATGTATGAAAAGAAACACAACTGGCCTACGTCTCACAAGAATCCATAATCACCTTATATAACAATATCATGTAACTAGCCATCCTAAAAACTCATTGGTCCACATCTCACATAGAGTCAACGTTCATATTATCGGATAACTAACTGTTCACAAATCCTTTACGTGCACCTAATACGCCGCTACACTGGATTGGTTAGAGGGCTACACGCAATCCGATTTCAACCTGGTTCGAACTCAAGCTAAACTTGGGTAAATATCAAATTCACGGACCAAAGTGACTACACTGGCTTCACTTTGACCCAACAAACTAATCCCAAGATACACTGGAACATGGGGCGAGCCTGGAAGATACATCAACAGCTATATCCGATCACATGAACATGGACTTTCCCATCCCCACTCTTTTCGTTTTTCTAAATCAATCATAATCCTCATTAAACTCGGGTTCACCACCTAAACTCAGTCAACACACCCACACATGTCACTAGGTCTGTTCATGACGCACGAGGCCACTAAGTCATGAACTTCTAAGGGTTCTCACAACAACCAGAAATAATAAAAGTAGACATGTCAAATACAGTACAATAATCGTAAAACATAAAATGTAATCCTGAATCAGTAAAGCGTGCATACAGTCTGATTTCATCAATATCTTGTTATCCAAAATAAATATTTCTTTTTGTTTTAAATAAATTCTTTTAAATCATCATAATTATTAAAAATATAATTCTTTTGTCAAAAATAATTTAACAACTCAAAATGACCCCTTTTCTGAAATAAATAATTTTAAATTATCTATTTTAATAATTATTCAAAACTAACCCATTTTCCAATTAATTCCTTTTCTCATCATAATAATTCTAAAAACAGCTTAAAATAACCATTTTTACACAAAATAATTTTCTTTTAAATTACTTATCATAACATCATGCGCAGATAATTATACCACAGCTTAATATTGGCAAATAACTAATAACAGGCAAAAAATTATAATAAGTGACAAGCTGAGCAACAAAATCTTGCACATAAATACTTTGTGATAGTTATAATATTGTAATAAAAACAACATGGAATAGGGATCTTGCCTCGGGTATGTCGACAAATCGACGCTGTCGGTGAGGCGCGTCGGCGCTAAAGGGCGATGGATCCGAGCGACGACGTCAGCGGGGATCTCGTGGAGGGGCAGAGAGTATTCGGTGAGCGATGGCCAAGGGTCGGATCTGAATGAGGTGACTGGCGAGGTGGAGGAGTAGCGGCCCGGTGAAGCGTGTGGAGATTGGGCAGGTGCGGATTGGGCGCAATCGAAGCAGATATGGAAGGGCTGTTTGAGGGTCTCAGACGAGAGGCATGAGCGGCGCGTGGGGTGAAGAGGGGTTGGTCAGGAGCTCAGGGGCTACGAGCGGCTCTGGTCGGACGGAGGATCTGGCTTATGCGTGAGTAGCGGGAGAGGAGGCAGAGGTAGAGGAGGTGGTCGGCAGGGCGATGAGAGCGCGGGGTTGCGACGGTGGGCGGAGCTGGAGGCAGCACTCAGGGCGGTGGTCAGCAGCGTGATGAGGGCGGGGTCGATGGTGGGGGACTGGAGGGACAAGCGTTCGGGGCGGTGGTCGCTTGGTCGGTGACGAGGCGGGTGAAGGTCGAGTTCGTCGGGAAGAGGGGCGGGCTGTCAGATCTTTGGTGGCGCTGGAGGGCTCGGCTGGGGCCTACAGGGCAGGTGAGGGGCCTGGGAGTTTGGCGGCGGTGGAAGTTTGGTGGTGCCGGTGCGGATGGAAGACGAAGGAGGGGAAGGCCAAATGGAAGAAAAAGGGGGAAGGGAAAAAGGAAGGGGAGGGGGAGGAAAGGGGAGGTGGAAGGGATTGAGAGAGGGAGATGAGAGAGTTGAGAGGCGGTGCTGAAAAGGAGAGGAGAGGAGAGAGAAAGAATAGAAAAAAACTTTATATATACTATATGTATATATATGGTATATATTATATATATATGTATATATACTATATATTATATTATACGAGAGAGAGAGAGAGAAACTCTTGTCAACTTAAGTTGATAAGAGCCCTTGTCCATCAAAGTTTCTAACCGTTGGATTAAGCTCTAAGATTAAGATCTTAAGTTGATGATGTGTCATGAATTAATTACAGGAAGGGTATTTTCGGAAAATTAAAGTCATACAAAATAGGAAATCTAATTAAGTTGATTCTGTAGCCTAAAAAAACCAAATTAATCGGACCAGACTCTTCTCCGCTTGCTAATTAAAAGAGGAAATCTCATATATACGTCTACATATTAATCGGACCGGACGAAACCCCTCTTGCTCTTCTCTGCTGCCTTGAGAACCACCTCCTCTTTTGTTCGTCTCTGTTCTCCGCTTGCAGATTCCGCGCCTCCTCAATTTAGTCGGCATCCTGTGCAAAGTATAAAATTCTTTATCCTTCTATTTTAATTTTGAACGAGAAAGAGCAGGGTTCACTTGTTGTTCACATGTTAGACATTGTCCTCTAGCTTCCTCGTGATGCACGTTGAAGGGTTAGGCACCTGCTGCATGTCATTCTTTATGTAGTTAATTATAAAACCTTAGTATGGATGTGACATAGCACAAATCTTTTCCAATATGTCATGTATGATTTTGGTGATGTAGCATAGCACAAATCTTTTCCAATATGTCATGTATGATATTATCTAATATCTGTAGCATAGCACAAATCTTTTCCAATGTGAGACTAAGATTGTCTTTAATCTTTTTTTTTGGGATGTTATTTTGTGATACTGTAGGTAATGTGGATCGTTCACATTATATGCTATGTAGACTACCTAATGGCAGTAGCATAGTTCAATATATATTCTTTTTAGTGGAATCTAGTAATATACATCCATAAGAGAACTTACTGAAAGCCACATCCCCCCCCCAAAGTTGGTATAGCTGTTACGCCTCCATGGTCATGTATCCAATTTCTCCCTTTCACCATAGCTTCATCTTCGTTGTAATTAACCTCCTCACCGAGTAGCCTCAATGTTGTGTAGCATAGAGCAGTGCTAAACATGACGCTTAGACCATCTGTGTTGAAACCCCCAACCTCCATCTTCATTCTGTTAAATAATACTGAATGGTTATTAACAAGTTTGGCTCCTCAAGTCTTGTGACAACTGTAAGAGTAAGAATTCAGTGCCTGCTTGCTTATTTTTTTGGTCCATGAGCATTTCAATTGCTACTTTAGGTGGTGCATGCAGGTGCTGAGCATTGTTAGAATTCCTCAACAACTTTTAGTGGAGAAACAAGCGTTTTTGCTAGGCTCTAACTCTAGTTTTGTGAATACTTAGCTAACGATGAATATCTCCATCTATGAATTTCAGACGTGTTCTTTTTAGTTTGTCATGAGCTATTAAATTTAAATTTCTTCTTCTACTTGTTATTTTTATTTTATTAATTGTGAGCTCACTTTACCCTAATTTTTCTCCATCTATGAAGCAATCTAATAATCTTTCCATTATGTTTGCAGGTTGTCTCATGGCAATATTAGGGGAATATGTAGACAATGATCTTTTTCGTGCAAATGAAGAAATAGAAAAGACGACGCAAGAGAATTATCCACATGAAGATGAACATTTAGAAGAAAACTTGAGTCACGTATCATGTATTGATGAACCGAAGATTGGCATGATGTTCATAAGTTTGGAGGAAGCAATGAATTATTATAGTGCTTATGCACTATTAATTGGGTTTGGGATTAGAAAATGATCTAATTATTTGTCTAAGAGAAAGAATGTCATTACAATGCAAGTATTTACATGCACTCATGAGGGTTTTCCTAAAATCAAAGGGAAGGAGCCATTACTTAGGGATAACACATTCGAGAAAAGTCCTTCGAAGGAGATATCTAACATTCGAACTGGTTGCAAAGCAAGTATGCGTGTGAAATTAGATGATGAAGAAAATTGGATCATATCATCCTTTGAGAAGAAGCACAACCATGAATTAGTACCGAGCCCCTCAAAATCTCGTTTCTATCAGTGTCGGCGAAAGATTAGAGATGAAGAAGCCGACCTTATATGAATCATGCGTGAGCAAAATATTTCAACAAAGCATATTAGGGACTTCATTGCATCTCAACGTGGAGGGGTTCGTAATTTATCATTCACAAGGAGGGACCTAAGTAATTTTGCAACGCTCCAAAGAATGTCACTTTTTGAGAGTGATATCTCAACGACTCTAAGTCACTTTCAACAACTACAAGCTGAGAATCCTATGTTCTTTTATGCAGTCCAGATTGATAGTAATAATAGTGCAAAAAATATGTTTTGGGTTGATGGGAGATCAAGGATGGCCTACCAGCATTTTGGAGATGTAGTCACTTTTGATACCACATATTGTACGAACAAGTACAGTATGCCATTTGCACCATTCATCAGGGTAAACCACCATTCTCAAACTATATTATTTGGTTGTGCTTTGATTAGAGATGAGACTGTCGAATCCTTCATGTGGGTGTTTCGAACATGGCTTAATGTAATGTTTGGTAAGCATCCTACTTGTATTCTGATAGATCAAGATCCTTCAATGAGGAAAGCAATAAGTGAGGTCCTTCCTAATACGGCTCATCAATTTTGTAAGTGGCACATTCTTCAAAAAGCATGCGAGCATCTAGGCATTTTATTTGGTACAAAAGAGAAGTTTCAAGAGGATTTTCTTAGTTGCATCAATTTTAGCTTAACAGTTGAGGATTTTGAGTCAAGTTGGACTACTATGATAGAGAAGCATGAAGTTGAAGATAACACACATCTAAAACATTTGTATCAAATTTGAGATAAGTGGGTGCCATCGTATTTTAGAAATATATTTTGTGCTTTCATGTCTACAACACAAAGAAACGAGAGTTTCAATGCACTTCTCAAGGGTAGAGTCAATAATCATACAACAATTTATGAGTTTGTCATGCAATATGAAAAGGCTTTAGAAGATCGATATGACGTAGAAGAGGAAGAGGATTTTCGCTCTCTGCAATACAAGCCAAGTTCGTGGTCTCCAAGCCCAATAGAGAGGCAAGCACAAAAGATTTATACTAGAGCAATGTTTAGGGTCTTCAAGGATCAACTAAAAGAGATATTTCATTTTCTCTGAATGAAATTGAGCCTAAAGCATTATACAAACTAGTGCAAGTCCCAAACTCAGACAAACCAAGTGCTAGAAGAAGAACTTATATGGTTACCTTCCAAGCCCCTATGACAGTATCTTACAATTGTAAAATGTTTGAATTTAGTGGAATGGTGTGCTCGCATGTGCTTAAGGTGCTTTTGCATCTTGACATCTTGCAAATACCCTCTGAATATATTTTAAAGAGATGGACAAAGTCAGCTAAGGAAAAAAGTTTTGATACACACCAATGTTTTAGCACTAAATTGTCATATTCCTCCTCAAAGACTCTAATGTTTAATAGTTTGTCTCGAAAAATAATGAAATTGGTTGCAGAAGGTTCCACGTGTATTGAGTTGTATAATTTAGCAAATAAAAAAATAGATCAAGTTGTGGGAGAATTAGTAGCGGCAAAAATGCACTTACTAGAGAATAAATTGGGGCATGACGACATGACGCAAATCCAAGGTTCTGCATGTTCTCAAACACAAGAAAGTATTATTGATAATAATTGTATAGTGAGAGCTCCTCTTATTTCAAATTGCAAAGGAAAAAGAAAGATGCAACGTTTCAAGCATCCTTCAGAGTTGAAAGCTAAGAAGCAAAGAACTTGTGGGAAATGTCATGGGAAAGGCCACAATAGTCGAACTTGCAAGGTAAAATTACTTTTTTATTCTCAAATGTGGAACAATGTTCCTATGCAAAGTATGATATTTCTAATTTTTTATGAGATTTGTGCAGGCCCAAACAACAAGTCATGTAGGAAGCGTCAATGAGGAAGAAGAGGAAGATTTGGAAGATCAAGAAGAAGAGGATGGAGATGTTGAAGAATACTACTACTAATAACCTATTCTAATCTTTCTTTTGTTTGTCAATTTTCTTTCGAAGCTCTCAGGATATGTGAAGTTACTATATGGATCATTTTCTTTTGTTTGTCAATTTTTCTTTTGTTCTTGTAAGACATTAGAGTACTATTATATTCAATCCTAGAGAAGGAAACAATAAGATACAGGAATATGCAGCACAACCATTTGTCCAGAAACTTGATCTTCTAAAGTACATAGTTGATGTTGGCTTATCCAAACTTGAGAAGATTATGCAGGGTTCGCACCATTGTGTATAAATTCTGCCTTCCCTAATGATCAAGAAATGAGGTATTAGCTATAGAAGATATATGGAGATCACTCACCGTCTTGCATCAACAAATGCTTATCTTTTGCCTTACCTCAATAGTTGCTCAAGTTTTGGTTCAGATATGTGTCGCATCCAAAATCATCAAGACTGCCAGTTTGTGCAAGAACTGTCTTGTTAGCCTTCTGCCTCATATTGCAAAAACATGTGATCTGGTTTGATTGTCTTTGTCTTTTACTCAAATACCCAATTATCTTAGTATGCTTGATTCATAATGTAATGAAAGCAATATTGGGGACATCTTATATCACTAACTGTAGTTTATGACTGATCCATGCTTCATAATGTAATGAAAGCAATATTGGGGACATCTTATATCACTAACTGTAGTTTATGACTGATCCATGAAGCTTGCTAAGTGATCTAAGCATCAAGGGACATCTTATATCACTAACTGTAGTTTATGACTGATCCATGAAGCTTGCTAAGTGATCTAAGCATCAAGAAAAAGACCTACCTGCTATTTTTTTCATTTGATTTGTCAGCTTCTCTTTTACTGAAATGAGGATTCTTTATTAAATTTATGTTAAGAAAAGTTATGTTATTTGTATCATGTTGCTCAAGCAGCCATCTTTATTAAATTTATGCCAAGTACTTTATGTATTAAGACTTAAACATGCGAACCATTATCCTGTAGTCTATGTGGGTTCCCTTTGGCATTCAGTTTTCATTTATTAAATTATTCTACAAAAGCATAGTTGAGTTTCATCCGGTCTGATTAATATGTAGACTAAATTATTCGGGGGAGGGGGGGTTAGTCACCTAGAATTTTTTAAATAGAACTGGAATAATTGGTAAAGTGGGATAATATTTTAACACTGGGATAATTTAGTGGAACAATGATGGGTAATTCTTAAAGTGAGATAATTTGGTAGGATAATTTGGTGGGATAATGATGGATAATATTATGAAGTTGCATAATTTGATAGGATAATTTGGTGGGGGTAATGGTGGGTATAAATTACTATTGTTAATAATTATATATTAAAAATAATATAATATTGATAAGCAAACTCTAGTAATAACTATAAAATATAATGCAATAAAGCATCACTATTCGTCTCAAATAATAAAATAATTTACAAATAAATAAAAATCTAAATCCCTAGAGTGACGGGACTTCCATAATCCCACATGGCTCTATCATCTCACATGGCATCTGCCATAGAATTTCTCCAAGCTCTTACAGCTACTCGTTGAGTTTGTAACTCGTCTTCTTTATCGGAGTCATCGTCTGCATCAGCAACATTTCGTGGAGCTTCTAGCGGAGGATCATAAATGTCGAAGTTCAAATCTCATAACATCATAAAGAAAGAAAAATAAGCATTTTTCAGCCATTAACCATTTGGACCAATCTCATCATGATCGCTGAAACCAAATCAGCAAATAAATGAAATGAACACAGGAATCATCCATGGCTGCTAAACAGATGATCGACAGATAAACTATAAATTTCCCAATCAATTTACTGAGCCGATTTAATAATAATAGATATCACCATTAACCATTCAACATCTAATCATCAATGTGATCGCAAAGTTACTTTCTAACTTATAAAAAAACATATATAGCCCGCAACCTAAACCACTGTTGTGGAGAGAAAACTTAGATCAAACAAATAATAATAAAGTAATTTAACATCAAAAAGCTATCAATAAAGTAATACATCTTGAAGATAATAAAAGATCTAATCATCACAAAAACAAAGTAAAGACAGAAAAATGAACGGATGATTGACTTCATGGCAGAAAAATTTTCTAGGCGGAGAAACTAACCAAGAGGGAGGGAGGCGGCGTTTCACTTTTTTTCCCCAATTGTATTCTTTCAAATATGTGGGATAATTTGAGAGAGGAGAACTTATGGTTATATATATAGGTAGTATAATTTGTGGGATAATTATGACCAATTATCCCAATTCTAATTCTAGTAGAATTCTACTTGACTAACGCATCAAAAAAATAATACAGTTCTAGTTCTACAAAAGTTCTACTTGACTAACACTATAAAAAAAATCTCATTTCCTAGTTCTATGTGACTAACACCTTAAAAATTTATCCCACAAATTATCCCAGTTCCAGTTTTAAGTTCTAGATGACTAACCCCCTGAGTTTCCTCTTTTAATCAGCAAGCGGAGAAGAGTCTGGTCCGATTAATTTGGTTTTTTTAGGCTACAGAATCAACTTAATTAGATTTCCTATTTTTTTTTGACTTTAATTTTCCGAAAATATCCTTCCTGTAATTAATTCATGCCACATCATCAACTTAAGATCTTAATCTTAGAGCTTAATCCAACAGTTAGAAACTTTGGTGGACAAGGGCTCTTATCAACTTAAGTTGACAAGAGTTTCTCTCTCTCTCTCTCTCTCTCTCTATATATATACGTAAAAGTTATCTACACATCAAAACGTACCAGTTGGAGTATCACAACCGATTATACGCAACTGTAGAAATAATACAAGAAATTGCATAATTAAACAAGAATAATTAATAAAAAAATATAATTTCTTATATTTAGAATCAAATAATTATGGGATAATTATCCATATAGTAAAACGTACTAGTTATACTAATACGACAGATAATATGCAGCAGTAAAAATAATACAATAAATTATATAAATAATACGTAATTAATAATACAATGTATTATACAAAATAATACGTAATAAATAATAATACAACATATTATGTAAAATAATATGTAATAGTATCAAAAACATAACTAATAAATTCTATAAATTTTTACTGCATTAAACTAAGTTATAAAATATCAAACCATTTAAATGAATATAAACTTGGACTTTAAATCGTAGAAAATTCTAGAAAATCAAAAAAATACAAATACTCTTTTAAAAATAATAATTAAATATTTTAAAATACCAAAAACTTATTTTAACTAATATCAAAATTTTACGATCCTTACATAAAAAGGTGAAGACTCTTCATTCAGATAACGGTAGAGAGTACAAGAGTGATTAATTTCTACAGTTTTACCGGGATCACGGCATTAGGTGACACTTCATAGTTCGAGAGATACCATCACAGAACGGGGTGGCTGAGAGATTGAACATTACCTTGCTGGAGAAGGTACGATGTATGATGATATAAAGTTGATTGCCTAGATCCTTTTGGGTCGAGACGTTAGTTTATACGATCCATCTCGTTAATAGGTTATCATGCACTACGATACAGGGGAAGACTCCTATGGAGTGATGGTCTGGTTCGATAGCTAGTGACTATGAGTCACTTCAGATATTCGAGTGTCCTGCTTATTATCATGTAAATGATGAAAAATTAAATCCGAGGGCGAGGAAAGTTGTCTTTGTGGGATTTAGAGAAGGTGTTAAATGCTTTAAGTTATGGGATTCACAAGACAAGAAGATAGTCATTAGCAGAGATGTCACATATAATGAGGCCTCAAGTTCCTCGGTAGGTGGAGGAAGACCATATTAGTAGGATGTCGCAGCAGGTGAAGGATAATAT